TTAGCCAGGATGGTCTCGATCTCCTGACCTCGTGATCCGCCCGTCTCGGCCTCCCAAAGTGCTGGGATTGCAGGCTTGAGCCACCGCGCCCGGCCCCTTTTATACTTTAAATTTTTTACTTGTAGTAACATTTTTTGTGAATGGAGAGGAATGTAATTTCGTCACTGCTATTGGGATGGAAGTTTCATCACTTTTTTTGCCTAAATATATTATTACTCTTTAGTTTGACAATTCCACTTATCGATATGCACTTTAAAGATAGACTTACATGTGTATATAAGGAGGTATATACAAGAATGTTCACTGTATCATTGTAATAATGAAGAATTGGAAACAACCCATCTGTCCATCAGTAGGAAATGAATATATAAATGGATATATTTGTATGGTAAAATAATTTACAACAGTTAAAATGAAGTAAATTGCATATATTTACAGTTACATACCATAACACCTTAATACTGAGTAAAAAAAAGTTTCAAAAGAAGATTCAGTGTATGATGTGATTTGTGATTTGTAAAAAATGTTAAATATGATAAACAGTACAATATATTTTTTATTCATACATACTTACATGGCAAAATATAAAAATATGGACAACAAATACACACCAGTTTCAAGGTTAGAAACTGGTTAGAAACATCTAGAGATGGAGAGAAAGGAATAGAATGCTTAATAGTCTTTGTAATTTTCTATAATACTCTCTTTAATTTTCTGCCATACTGAAATATTTCATAATTTAAAAAACTGAAAAACAAAAATTGGTTACTTTTCATTCTCGTGCATATTCACTGTATCAAATAGTTGACTAATTTTTCCAGTGTTATCAGCTGACCACAAAAAACTCTATTATGTAACCACTCCATGACCCTTTCAACTAGAAATGAATAGAAAACAGCTATTTTGTTTATGCATCATCTGTTGAGTTTAGCAAGGCTGCAGACTCAAAAACCTTCTTACTCACTTTCTCTTTAGAATAGCACAGTGGCAGGAAGGAACCCAAAATTATTGATTCATAAAATATTTTATTTTTTTTTTAAACTCATTTTATATTGAATCAGTGAAAAGCAATTGAATTTTGTGGAAAATTTTGAAACAAAGATTGATATAACTTATTTTCACAAAGTATGAAGCAGACAAAAACCAAAAGAAATTAACCTAAATTTATTAAACATTGAATTTATAAATATTAGCTGGACTTTTTTTTGTTAATGTAATTTTTAAAATATCATTTATATGTTTATGCCAATGGAATTGAGATTGCAGCAATTTTTATCTGATGAATTCCCCAAGTACCTCATCCTCATACCCTACACCATGAACATCAGTTCAGAACTTGATGCATAATTCATTTTCTAGATATTTGAAAACCTAAAGAACTAGAGGGAAGAATTTAGAAGATTAGGAAATTCTCAACTAATTTGCATTCCAAAAATACTTTTATTGTAGAAAAATTAGAGTTCTCTGTAATAAGAGTTCTACTTCATTCAAGTGTTTGGTATTTCATTAATTTATTTACTTCTGGAAAATTTTGAGGTGATCCTCAAAATTCAATTCTCTGTTGATCCTTTAGCACAGAAATTTTAGACCGAGTTATAAGAATTTAATGAGAAATGAAGATTAACTGTTTCTGATATTGAAGTAATGAGGAAATTATCCTATTTGTCAAAAACTCAATTTGCATGCAGTTGTCAGAAATTCCCTTTGGATGAAAAATGATTTGGGATCAACACCTGTGGATAAATAAATAAATAAGCAAAGTGAATAACATCTGTATAAAATTTTCATTGTTTAAGCTGTTAGTAATTAATTTAAAAAATCACAAGTCTGATCGAACTAATCATACACAGTGTTAAAATTAGAATCAAATGTTGATGTGAATTTTTTGTTGTCTGGAAGAATGGTTTTGCTTGCAGGAAAGACTATTTGGGGATTTATTTTTGGTTTTAGAAACTGGCATTCAGTTTTATAGTGCTATAATTTAAAAAACTGAGACCTTCTTTAGGCTTTTCTGTTCATTCAGTTAACTCTATAAGTCTAGCAGATATTAACAATCACTTTGAAAAGCCTTTGAAAAATGTCCAGTTCCATTTATAAAACTCAGCTAAATAAAATATCTTTAAACATTTGAAATGGTTAATAAATTTTATATATTCTGTTTCCTTTTAAATACTTTGGATGTCTGAATTAACAAAACCTTCCTGAGTAATTAATGCACAAATATAACCAATTAAATTTATAAATAGGCTGTACCATAAATTATCTTAAATATTCCAATACTATTTGGAAATTTAAGATTTAAAATCACAGGTACAAATTATTCAATTATATTCTGAATAGAAGTCAAAGACTGCCTAGTATCCACAGAGCCCCTCAGTCTTTTTCTTTCACTCTTATAAATAATACCCCTCCTTCCTAGCGCTGGTGATTTGAGTATACCCCGATCCTTAACAGACTTCTCTGCTACCATCCTGAGAAGTCCTATCTTATTCCTTAATCTAAAGATCCTATCCCACTCCTGTGACAAAGACAGTTATTTGAGTTAGCTTAGCATAACTACTATACTTCTCTTTCTGACTTTCCCAGAGTGTAGCTGAATCTTTCTTCAGTTTTTCTTATAACCAAGACTTAATGAGACTAGAGCCTTTCCAATATTTTGTTGGTAAAATGAATAAATATGATAAATATAATAATTATTTTTAAAAGACACCAGGCTGTTCATAATAGTGATAAGTACACTTGGAAAATTTGCAACAGGATATGCGCTTGCTTTGGTTTTGGGAAGCTAGGATAGTAAAGATTAATATTCATTCATTCATTTATTTGCTTATTTTACCAAGGCCAAGGGAGGAGAGGGAAAAAAATAAGTAGAAAATATCAGTGAGCAATGGGAAAGGAAACAGTTAACAAGTCCCTTAAAATCTCGGAAAAAAATTAGGATTGGCCTCACACCACCTGATATGTTCCGTTCTCCTCATTTGTTGGATGGGCCAATAGCTGAGAATGTTCTAGATGTAAATATATTTCAACTTCTTTGGTACCTTGATTGATAATGCTGTCTGGGCGCTAGATTGAGAATAATGGTGAAGTGTGTTCAATCTCAGCAGGAAAGAATGCCCTATTAGCAAGCAACGCCTGCCAATACTGATGAAGGGAAGGCACCCTTGTGATATTTGCTATCCTCTGCAGGGTTTGGAGTGTAATGTAGAAATGTTTCCACACAGGGCCAGCATTAAGATGTGTTGATAGGCAGACTGTATACACGTTGGGGATGCCTGGGAGTAGCAAACAAGTCTAAGCCTGAAAATAGTCAATGCCAGTCGGGGTGTTCTGATAGGAAGTAAAGGGGATGCAGCTGCAGGGCCTAATGTTACCAAGCCAGCCTCTAGTTTGTGGGATAGTGGTAAGAGGAGGTTAAGCAGGGTGCCAAGACAAGGGCTCAGGAAACAGGACAAAAGCCCAGCTATTGGACTGGGAGATAAGGTGAGGACTTGGTTTTTGAACGAGGCAATGATCTAAGAACTATGATGAAAGTTCAGAGATGAGCAGCAAAATCTGACTTGATGCTGAACTGAGGAGTTACTAGCATAGAGCTATGTAATTTCCTCTATCATAGCCTGGCCCAAAATGAGGCAGGAGGTAAGAGATAATGTCAGATATGTAGACTGGGATTTTATAGGGACAGGAAACCTGACAGTTCTTTGCATGCTTCTCTATTTGCTGCCTCAGGCTCTCCAGCCTTTCCACTATTAGAGATTATACTCAAGACTGTAGGAACCACCACCAAAGATTTAGAGTTGTGAAAAACCCAAATTGTTTAAAAGTGGCATGTTCTTAGTATGTTTATTTGGAATATTGTATCACACAGAGGTTAATTTAAAGTGATGTAGTTAAACCATGAATACCATGGATTAAAAATCATATCTGTTGGCTCACTTGGGACCATAAATTCTAGCTATAACTTTATTTGTGTGGGTGGGAAACTGTGTTTCATGCTTCAAGCACATGATGCTCATAATCTCTTTGAAGAGTAACTGTCACTCACTAGATTGTTGTTTTGACAACATATATGTAGAATAGATAAGCAGATACATTTTTTAATGGAAGGAAGAACCAAGCTAGATAATCTTAAATTCATTCAGAAATTTATGTTAGAAAGTAAAGAAAATCTCATTAATCCATCTCCACTGGTTTGAATTTATGATTGCCAACCTAGAACAGCCAAATGTTGTTGTTTAATCTACCCAAGAAAATTTGATAAGCCAGTATACTCATTCTACTTAAGAAAGCATATTATTTTAACTTTTATTTTGCCAAGTGTTGTACATAAATCAGTACTGCTAATTACAAATAAGTTTTACTTATTAAAGGAGATTCCACAAACATCTAATTCACACATACTTAAAGTTTATATTTATTCTAAAATTTTGTTTGATTAAGATTTTACAGATCCAGACTGATCTTCCTTAATTGGTTGTAATTAGTACGGTGTGTGTGTGTGTGTGTGTGTGTGTGTGCGCGTTTAAGAATAGCAGAAAGCTTTGACTTTATGCATTTCCCCCTTCCTCCCTCTTCACCCTCCAGGTTTTTACCCAGTCTTGCTAGGTCAGCATTAGAAAAAAATCTGGCAGATGCTACAATAGAAATAAATACTGATGACAATTTGGAGCCAGAACTGAAGGATTACAAATGTAAGTATTTGATTTGACTCTTTTTTTTAAAGTGAAATAATAATTAGCAAACATTTGATGCTATTTATTTTAATTCCAGTTAAAAATGTTTTTGGTTTTCATCTACTTTGATTTATATATTAATTTGAAGAAATGAATCTGATTTTTTTTAAGTTTGAAAAACACAAGTAAAATCTTAGAATATTTACTTCATTTCAGTACATACTAGATACAATTCCCCTGACCCTTAAGACTCACAATTGATGCTAATTGATACTCTGACAATTCCTGCTATAAATCAACATGTCTAATTTTGACAAATGTACTTTTTCCAAATGTATTTCACCAGTGAATCTAGAATGCTGTTTTCTTTGCACATTTACATTTTGAGGGTCAACGATGTCCAATATGTTGGAGAAACTTTCCTAGGTTGATACAAACTAAAATAATAATCAGAATATGCATGTCATCTTATTCCTTCCATTTCCACCTGTATTGTCTTTTATGGTACTTTTTCTTCTGAATAGCCATAAATATAATTTTGAGTTCTGGGGAGATTTAGTTCTTTATTTAAAAGCTTTCTATTCTTCAATTAGAACACAACGAAAGATTTTCAATTTTTTAAAAATGTAAATACCTATTTTATTGAAGCAGCCAATGTGTGACCACTCTTTAAAAGGGACTATTGTGGTTTTCTTTGTAGCAGATGCTTTTAATCATTGGGGCTGCACTGAGACAAGAATTTGGTATTGAGAAAATAAGATGACTTTTTTAGAGTCAAATTATAAACTCAGCATACTGAGGGATCTGAATACAGATACGCAGAGTCAACTCAAAGAAAAGGAATAATACTGTATTCTCAATATTATTTGAGTGAATCTATTAAATATCCAAAGAACGACTGTCATTCAGACTGCCGATTGTTTGGTCTTGGTTACTGGCTAGTGTTAGCAGTGCCCATCTAAGCCTCGTGTAGGGGATAAGGAGCCTAAGTGAAGAGACTTCTTACTTGTCTGGTTCCATTCATCTTTAAGGCCATCTCTCTTGCGAAGAATTCATTTAATTAACTCTCCATGTTCACACAACAACCTTCTGATGAGGAATTGGCTTTCCATACAGGTTCCCTCCAATTAATATGCTGGTTATGGCAACCAGTATATCACAGTCCATGTGAAAGTTACAATTGTCGTATAATATTTTGCAATTCTGATTTTACATCAGAATATACATATAGAGAAACCAGAATATGTATCTTTAATATTCTCCTGAAAGTTAGATTTGCCCTCAGTTGTGATGACAAAATCAGTCAGCCTACTAGGCTGAGAACCTTGACAGATTTACCAAAATAATGCCATTCTGTGGGTTTCTTAGAAGATAGCTAGCCAACTTTCTCCCACAGAAGTGCTAACATCACCATTCTCTGACTGCATTTCCCTTTTTGAGGTTGATGTTTTAACAATAAACATTGGTTGAGTGAATAAACTTGTCCTTAAGCCATAAATCTACTGAGTGGATATATTCCATAAACTAAACTATAGATAGCATCAGATGCTGTTTGAATCTGAAATTATGTGTGCCATCTCAACATGCAACTAGATAGTAGATTCACTGCCATATCCCTACTCTTTCTTTCCCTTTACAGTTTTATACTGGGTCTATTTCAGAGACCTAATGGTAGTAAATAAATAGTAAACTTTCAGTGTTACAGCTCATGGTTTTCCTTCCCTGTAGAACTTGTAAATAAAAGGAAAATGGCAAGGATCTATTGAAGGGCGAAGTTACTGTTAAGATCTACTGTGCTGTGTCAAATGTGTAGCACTTTGCAGTGATTAAACAGGGTGACGATTATTTTTAGCTCAGACTTGTTCACAGTACTCCATAGAAGCAAGCATTGCTTTTCTCCATTGTTTTCAAAACGCTTAGCACAAAAGTCACATTCTAGTGGAGAAACAAACTGTAATTTTCTTATTTGAAGTAGAAAAAAAAAAGATGGGTGAATTGTTTAAGGCATTGTGTATTTGCTTGCTAAAGTATTTCCACAGGTTGGAATGTTATTTGGAGTATATATTTAAATATATCCCATGTGGTAGAAAGAATGTCACACTAGACTAAATTCTGTTTTAAGCTCTACTCATATTAGCTGGGTGATTTTGAGAAAATTACATAGTGTATGTTTTTAGTATTCTCATTATTCTTTCCTCTTTGAATTACATGAAATCATATGAGAAAAAAAATGAGGTGAAGCTTTAGCTAGGGATCTGGCACATAGAAGGTCCTTAATAAATGATAGCGTCTATCATTGTAATAATTAGCATTACTAAAATACCTGCTACTATTAATGTTAATATTATTATTGAACTTGAAACATGTCAGTGAACATGTCATGGGTATCTGGTTACTGTAGGGAATACGTAGCAGATATGTTCCCTGACTTCAAGAGCTTTATTACTTAGTTTTCTGGCTTCCAGGAACTCATAATCTATTCTAGGTCAACCTATTTAAAGCAAATAAGGAATAATATAATAATTATTACAAAATAATTGCATAAGACAGAGGTTCCCAATCTAGCTGGGTATGAAAATCACCTAGGTGATTATTTGAAAATATAGGCCTCCTGCACCAACATTGCAAATAGTAATTTTAAAATATTCATTTTGTTATGTTTATTTGTAGTGTGTATATACATATATATATATCACAATTTAAGTGATTTATCCAATAAATTTATCCAAAGTGATTTATAAATAGCTGAGACTAGAGGCATGCGCCACCCTGCCCTGCTAATTTTTGTATACACACACACACACACACACACACACACACACACACACACACATATATGAAAATGAAAGTGCCTGATGTTCTTTTCTATGACAACTTTCAGGTAAGAGTATTGCTTTGTGTTCTTGGATAAATCACTTAAATTATGGTAGTAAACTCCAATTCAAGTGAAATTGACATGTAATTATTTTTGTGATTTCCTAAATTTAATTTAGATGATGCAGAATGAAGTGTTGAACATTGTGTGTGTGTGTGTGTGTGTGTGTGTGAGAGATGGAGTCTCACTCTGTTGCCTAGGCTGGAGTGCAGTAGCACGATCTCGTCTCCACCTCCCAGGTTCTATGTGTGTGTGTGTGTGTGTGTGTGTGTGTGTGTGTGTGTGTGTATATGTAAGTATAAAGAGAGACACAGACAAGGTTGCACTGTTATCCAGGCTGGAGTACAGTGGTACAATCATGACTCACTGTAGCCTCAACCTCCCGGGCTCAAGCAATCCTCCTGCCTCAGCCTCCTGAGTAGCTGGGACTACAGGCATGTGCCATCAGGCCTGGCTAATTTTTAAAATTTTTTGTAGAGCCAGGGTCTTTCTGTGTTGCCCAGGCTGGTCTTAAACCCCTAGACTCAAGTGATCCTTCTGCCTTGGCCTCCTAAAGTGCTGATGACAGGCATGTGCCACTGCACTTGGCTGAAAATAGTAATTTAAGAGTTCTGTGGTAGGTTAGTTCATCTGTATTTTTTACTAGAGCTATAGGAGATTATTCTAAGGGGTTTCTGAATTGGTGCACACTAAAAAATAATATTCAAGGTATTTTGGAGCTTTTGAATTTAGGTGTATTTAACTTATGTATGTGTTATAGTCTCTGACCAAACAAGCTTATGAAGGTGGCTTGACTGTATTCTGGGGTTTTTTTTTGTTTTTTGTTTTTTGTTTTTAGTTTCTCACAATTATATATATATATACTGTTTTCTATCTACATTGTTTTAAAGAAACTTTATTACCTTTTGGAGCATTTTGTATCTAGAGCTGTGGTGTTTTATTACTACTCTCAAGCTTATTTCTTTAGATGTTAAATTAAAATCCACAGATATTGCTGAAGCTATACTGCGTTCTATGTTGGGTGGCTTGGCATCTCTGAGGACAGTGCTATGAATAATTATCTGTCCTGTGTGAAATGTTTAGGTGAAGTAACATCTGGAACTCTGAGGATTGGTGCTGTTAGTGCTCCTATCTATAATGCACACGAGAAAATGAAAGTGCCTGATGTTCTTTTCTATGACAACATTCAGGTAAGAGTATTGCTTTGTGTTCTTGGATAAATCACTTAAATTATGGTAGTAAACTCCAATTCAAGTGAAATTGACATGTAATTATTTTTGTGATTTCCTAAATTTAATTAGATGATGCAGAATGAAGTGTTGAACATTTTGTGTGTGTGTGTGTGTGTGTGTGTGAGAGAGAGAGATGGAGTCTCATTCTGTTGCCTAGGCTGGAGTGCAGTAGCACGATCTCAGCTCCACCTCCCAGGTTCAAGCGATTCTTCTGCCTCAGCCTCCCGAGTAGCTGAGACTAGAGGCATGCGCCACCATGCCCTGCCAATTTGTGTATATTTAGTAGAGACAGGGTTTCACCATATTGGCCAGGCTGGCCTCGAACTCCTGATCTCATGATCCGCCTGCCTCGGCCTCCCAAAGTGCTAGTATTACAGGCATGAGCCACCACGCCTGGCCGAACATCTTTTGTTAAGACATAAGACAGAAAACAGAAAATTTTTTCCAAAGATACTTAAAAATTGGAGGAATTGTTGCTGTGATTAGGGTAATAAAGTATATATATATATATTTTTTTTTACACACACATACAATTATATATGTAATTTTATATACAATTTTTAAATTAAAATAAACATGTTAAAATTAAACACAAAACAGAGCTATCATCCTTTTACTTGCTTGTTAAAAGATTTAAGTAGTTCAGAAGGATATGTCCTATGCATCCTTTTTCTCATACTCTTCTTTTTCCTTCAAGTTCCTGGTATTTTTCTTTTACTTCCTTTTCTTTTTTCAAGGAGGATGGTAGAGGCTGTCCTTGTAAACTAGCCAATAGTTATGGACCTTCCACTAAGATGTAGAAGTTTGTATCTAGAAAACTTTATTGTAGATGTTTACTTTAATAAGAATTTTTTTTAGAGAAAATTACCTATAATATAAAAATTTTTTCTTTTCCAACTTTTCTGTCAAGTGGCTATGTATTTTATAGTAAAACACCTACTTAAAATTTTCTATAATACATTTTAAGTTAGATTAACTTTATAGGTATCTAGACATATTATCTTAATAAAAATCTTGGTTAAAAATTCTGAAACCTGTCAAAACTATTAATAATTTTGTATGGCGTAGAAAAGAGCATAACCTTGATTTGATTTTTATCTACTCTATAGCCAATTAACTAATGTTTTATTTTTCTTCTGGAGCATTAATGCTCTTGCACAATCAGTAGACAAATGAACAGAAAATAAAGTTACTTATAAGATACAAAAGTAGAAAAAAATCTTGCCTGTCAAAGACAAAAACATGATTATGAGAAAACATACTATTTCCAAGCACTGATAGTATTACACTCTATTCATATAGTGGAAAGGAACAAAGAGACAAAGAGCCAGGAAACTGTTATAAATGACAATTTGAAAAACTCCTTGGTGGCAAAGATTGAAAAGACTTCACAGGATATAAGAATGTAGGAAATTCAGTAGCAGGAAAGACCATTGTGCCCTTGAACACAATGTCTGTTGCCATGGTGTTTGTGACATGGACATTTAGGACGCAGGGCTGCCATGAACTTTACACAGTGGCCCTGAAAGACTTTTCGTAAGCTATCTCCAAACATACCTTCTCTTCTTAAAGCATTATGAATTAGCCATTAATGAAAACCTTTTAGCTGCACCAATTCTGTGGACAGTAGCTTGATTAAATTTGCTTCCATTGTGTATATTATTACTTCCTTTTATGCTGTACTTCATCTTTGAAGCAGTAGTCAGTGCCTCTTGCAGACTGAGGTGCTTCTGTATCATCTTGTTCTATGCCCTGTTGTCTCCTTACCACATTGTGTTGAAATGGACTTTTGAAATGTGTTTTTCCATATCACTAAGGCACAGCCCTGTTTTCTTTATTTAATATTTCCAGCAAATAGTAAAGTGCCTGGCACGTAGTAACTGCCAAGTAAATATGTGTTGAGTGGATTAATAAAATAATGAGTAAGATTTTGAATGTTTTTGATAAAGGGTATTACTTCATTAAGCCTTCCATTAAGGAATATTACACTTGCAGCAGTAAGGAGAAGTTGGAGGAAAGAGAAATTAATAGCCTCTTAATAGGCCTAAGGAGTTTTAGATGGGTAAGAATTTAAAAATACCCATTATGAGTCTGGCCTTGTCCTAAGGTATTGGGATACAGAGATCAAAATGCACGCACAAGTGTATGTAGCTCTAGGGCTCAAGTTGTTCTTAATCTGCAAGAAGGTACACACAGTTACTACACAGTGTGGTGGAAGTATGTGCAGTTTACTTATGGTAGCATTGATGGGGTTGATTGACCCAGATTGGGATGATCATAGAAAATTGGTCAACCAGACACAATTAGGAGAGTCTCTCAGGCAACGAGATCAGCGTTAGCAGAGACTTAGTTATATGAGAGAGTAGCTCATTTAGGGAGCTATATATAAATTGCTGTCACTGGTATGAAGCTGAGGTTGCAGGTGGAAGAGTGTCAGGAGAAGAGTCTGGTGAATGAGGAAAGAGTGAGATCGTTTCAGTCCTAGTAGTTAAGGAATTTGGATTCTATTTAGAAGAATGAGGAAGTTATTGAAAGATTTTAAGCACATTTGTACTTTGGCTAACTTTGCTTTTACTCTTTATTGTTGTCTAGGAGTTAGAACCAAGGCAAAGAGAAACTAGTTAGGTGGTGATTGCAGTAGTCCAGATGAAATTTATGAAGGATCTGAACTACAGAGGAGACAGTGGGGACAGAGCGGAGAGGACACATTGCAGGGCTGTTTAGGAGATCAAGTCAGTGGAACTTTGTGTTAGATGAAAGGCAGAGATTCTTTCTCAGGGAGCACAATGTCTGGTGAAAAAGTAAATAGAAGAGTAAGCAGAACATTATTCTAAATCATGCCCATGGTTGGAAACAGTATAGAAGGAGAGTAGTAGGAGATGAGGAGACTAGACCACAAATGTAAGGAATGACCTTTGTTCCTGAAGTATTAGGAGTCATTTAAGGAATTCTGAGAAATGAGTTGACAAATTTTGAACAAAGAAGTGTCAGGACTGTAAGAACACATTGACTTAAGGAGAGACTGAAGTTAGAGAAGCTAATTAGCTGATACGAATCTAGGCCAGAGATGATAAAAACCTTAAAACTGTGGGGATGGAGAAGAAAGGGTAGATGCAGTTGATTTTTAGTGGCTTAACAACTCAGGTGCTGTTTAGTTGGATCTTGATATGAAAGGAATGAGGAGGGCAGGGTGCTGATGGTAGAAGTTTGGTCAGCTGGTAGAAAATGATGCCATTAACTGGAGAAAAAGATGGCAGGATAAAGAATGAAGTTCAGGAGAAAGTAATAAGTTGAGTTTTAGATGTGTTGAATTTAGGTGCCAGGGCAATAACAAAGTGGTTTGATCATTCAGAAATAGAGGGCTGTAGTTAAGGAAGAAAGTTTTGCTGTTGAAGGTTGGTGTAGAGTTGGTAACTGAAGCCATGAGCTAGATGAGAGGATTTAAGGAGAGCAGGGTCAGAGGTAGGTCTTTGAATGCTGACATGTGGGTATCCAACTCTGCAGACAGCCCTCCCTCAACCCTCAGGTGGGTGCCTGGGTACGAGTAGTCACAACCTGCCCCATACCATGAATACAAAGGGAAGCATGTAAGAAGGTAGAAAGACAGAATTGCTACAGGAAGATCCAGCTCAGAAAACTATGGGAGAAATTGTTAGGGAGGTAGGAAGGAATCAGGGGAAATGGATAACTGGGAGAGGAGACTTTTAAGAAATTGTCTGCAGTACTAAGTGGGTCAAGAGGCTAAGAGGAGAATTGTGTTGGCGGTGACTTTAGCCTTAGCTAAGGTTTGTTGATTTGAATAATCGAGTTAGATATAATGAGGGCATGAAGTGGGAGGACATGAGAATTGTAAAGAAGAACACAAATATAGTTTGGATTATTTTTTGATATTTACATTGCTTTTTCCTTAGGCTATTCAGGTACTTACTCCAACTTTTCAACGTAGATTAGCCCATTTATTACTGGAAGAACTTAGTGTTTTCTGGAATTGGCACTGACTTTCCATCTTAGTGAAAAGGAAGAGGTCTCCATACTATATTCCCACCAGAACTCAGCTTAAAATGATGTACATCTTGGTTTGCTTAACATAGTTTCTGCTTATACTTGTTGTCTCAGCATAATTGTTAATAGTGTCTCTTTTTATTCTTAAAAGCATACACCTTATATCCATTTAAAAGTGTTCAAGAATAGTTATATACTCACCTCACTTCAAGCCTTATTAAAACTCTAGCTCCATGGCGTATCTGAAAGCATTTTTGAGATTAAAAATGACCAAGATAAACATCAGGGAATACTCATTTGTTCCTGAAGGCGATAAAGCACTTTCTCAGTTTTTCTTCTAAGAAAGAAACTCTGAAAGAGAATACTATTAAATTTGACAAGTAAAAAGAAACATTTCTGTGTATATGTGTATATGTATGTATTATATATTATCTATATTTTATATCTATATATTATATATAATTTATATGTATATTATACTATATATAATTTATATGTATATTATACAATATATATAAAGCACCATAAATGAAATTGAAAAAACAAAGCAAGTGATGTACTAGAAAAATATCTGCAGCATGTATTAGATGCAAAAGGTTGATTTGACTGTTTACAAATAGGAAACTTCAATAACTTTAGTACTTACGAAGCTGTTATGGATTTGATACAGAAAACCAAGAGAAAGTAATAGGAATATTAATTGTACTGGAGTGTAGATCTCTTCCCAGCCCCAAAGAACCCGCATGACCTACTTACAGTTGTCTTATTTTTCAAGATACGAAAGAGCAATGTAATTTCCTCTGTGGCTATTGTGAACAACCTTAATCTTGTTCTTTTATTATATTGTGTCATAATTCAAATTAAAAAGTGTGGAAGGTAAATAGTATATTTTTAATTCTGAAGCTATCCATAGCTTTAAAGGTAATGGTTAAGAACAAGTCAATGTAAAATGTTCCCTAGAAGTGTACAGTTATTTTAGGAAGCCTTTGTATATTTACATTAGCAAGTGTCAATTTAAATATTATATTAAATTATAAGCCAACTTTACTCAGTATAATAGATAAAAAGTATTTGAGTTGAATTATTAAAAACTCTGAAATATTAGTTGCTTAGTCTTGCTCAGGTGAACTATTTCAAGTTTTCAATATCAGTGACCTAAATGGTTATATAATTTACTTATAACCATAGATTTAATTTTGGGTCACATCAAATCGCTTGATTATTATTTATTATAATAGATATTTATATTCTATAAAGATATCTTTATAGTTAACTTTCTTGTTTCACCTTGATTGTACAAAACACAGTTAACCCCTAGTTCCTTTTTCTCTAGCACATGATAGTGATGGAAGACATGCTGAAAGACTTTCTCCTTGGAGAACACTTATTATTGGTTGGCAACCAGGTGAGTTATGGCTACAATCTAGGTACCAATGAAAAAATGATAGTAACAATTTAAAAGCAGTAAGTTTCTTCTTGTTGGAATCAGTTTTTTTTTCCCCCTATTAAATGACTGGTTTAATTAAAGGATGAGACTCTGCTATCTTCCAGACTTCAAAATTACCTCAGGGTTTAAATCATCCTCCATTCTCTCTCTCATCAAGTTCTGTCCATTCTGTCTTATAAGTATGTACTCTTCTTGTCCACATCTGTCACTCTAGCCCCAGTGATCTTTACCTGCCACTTGGATTACAGCAATAGTTTCCTATGATAGCTCCATCCCCACCTTATGCCCATTCTTATCTGCTGTCCATTCTGTAGTATCTGTAGTCAGATTGATACTTGTAAAACTAAAATCTGATTGAGTCTCTGTCTTTTTGCTGAAATTGGCTCCCCATTGCTGTTAGGTATAGTCTGAGTCTTCAGTATGGTGTACAGTCCTACAGGATTCACCCTCTGCCCACCCCTCTAGTCCTAAGCCATGGCCCCTTCTTTCTCTGTGTTGCTTTGAGGCACTCTGCAGTTTCTCATCTATTCAGTTACTTATCTCTGCTCTGGTCCTTGGTACATGCTCTTCCTTCTGCACGGAGAACTTCCTGTCCCCTTCCCATATACCCTCCCTTTAACTTGTGGAAGAGAGACCTTCCCTTGTCCCTGGCTGAATAGGTTTTTCCTGCTTCTACTCCCTTTTATCTCCTTTTTATCATACTGGTCATACCATATGCCTGTCTTTGCAACTTGTCTATGTGTCCCTTGAGAGCAGGGACCGTGTTTTTCTTATTTATCTCTATCCTCAGCTCCTAGCATGGTACCTTTTACATAGTAGGCGCTCAGTGTATGTTTATGGAGGAACGTATGAAAATTTTAGGTTTACGGGGTCCTGATAATTTTCCTCTATTGAATTTTCAGGCTCACAGTGAATAGCACTTTTGGTTTTTTAAATTGGTCTTAAATTAAGGGTAACCAGGTTTCTGAAGTTTGGTTTCTATTTTTTCTTCTTTTTTTGTACTTACAAAAATAATACATATTCTTTATATATTTAGCCTCTCAAACTTATCATTTTAATGTACTGATTTAAAAATAAAAATAAAAATGGGCCATTTGGGTGGTTTATTGATTTGAGAGCATAGGCTTGAAAGTTAGATGATTAGAGGCTCAACAGCAACTCTTCCACATGTGGTTGTGTGATTTTGGGCAAATTGCTTATCTTACTGAGGCTCAGTTTCCTGATGTCTACTCTGGGAATAAAAATAGTTTGGTCTCTTTGGGCTAATGTAAGGATGTCATGAGATAATGTGTGGGAAGTACTTCACACAGTGCTCAGTTCTGTCAGCTCAATACCTGTGTATCACTGTATAGTTTAAAAGTAATATTCTGTTGTTTCATTTTTTAAAACAAGAATTAAAAGCAGAACAATAAATTATTTATGACCCTTTAATTCCCACTATTTGAAAAGTCCTACCTATTTTTCTTCACTGAACAGTAAAACATGAGCCTATATACCAGAGTGGGAAGATGAAGATCAGTTAACAGTCAGAATTTGGCTCTTGATATTGAAACCCAGGAAGTCACATTCTCATCGCACTTTGAAAAACAATGGCTCTGTGGACATTCAGGTTGTATATAGCCCAAAGTACTTTGTAAATTTCTTATAAGAGTTTCACAAACTCTTTATAAGTTAAACGTTGGTGCACTCAGTGTGTCCTTTTCAGAACTTCTGCCATCGCCGGAATGGCCTGCCAAGGCTATACAGAACTGGGGCTTGAGGAATAATTTTTCTAAGGTGCAGGTTTTCAAAAGGAAGATCCCTAGAGGTCAAGGTATGGTGTCCAAGTGGTTTTGAAATCTCTCTTATGGTATTGCTATCCTAAGGGTTTGGTGGGTTGGATGCAGTTGGTCTCTTGGCAAAGGTAGCACTTACAATTCAGCAGGTAATAGATTATAGTTTCAGGAGGGTCTTCTAGGTTAAAAGGTTGAAGTTAATGCCTCGCCAGTAACTACAGAGACAGGAAGCATGTTCTAACCTCTGGAGGATTGGGGAGAGCGATTCAGAGTAAAGGGTGAAGTAGAACAGAGGTTTCCTTCTGCTTTATGATGAATGAAGCAGACACTGTGAAAGTGTTTTGGAATTGTCCTAGGGTGCTGTACAAACCTTGGCATAAAATCTAATATTCTATCTCTCGTTTGTTTCCAGTCCTAACGAAAGGAACAAGGCATTAGAGCAAAGAACTAGGCAGTGGGGTGGAAGGAAGGGCAGCTACAGCTCCACAGGTAGATGGTTGGACTCCAGTATCTGGTAAGGATGGACAAGTACACCGATTTTCAAGCCTGTCTAGGACTGGTTCAGGATTCAGCTAGATAGAGCCTTCAAGTTGAAGATCCCCAGGAAGAACAAGGCAGGAGCCATGGGTTGGCACAAACTTTTACTTACCAGTTCTTTTGCAAAAGCCATCTGTGGTCAGCAGATCACACTGTCTTGCCATCTTGTACCCCTATCCTGCCACTCTCCACTTTGGAGAAAGAAGAAATTACAAAGGGAGATTGTATTCAGTATAATTTTCTATGTTTAGCTGGCCCTTTTCATATCAGAAGAGTTTTCTGTTCTTTCATTATAAACCTCTAAGACCATCAGTATTACATTATAATACCAATGTTGAAGGAGCATTTTTTTGGTAAGTAAATTATGCTACACCTGTGTTCATTATGTTATATAGTGGAAAAGTCTAGCTCTCTTAGACTGTCATTTGATGTCCTCCATGATCTAATCCTACTCTACTTTCAGCCTGGCATCTGGTTTCTCCCCGTAAATGCTTGTCCTGAGACAAATTAAACACTCTGTTTCCCAAACATACTTTATTTTCAGTGTTATATTTCAACCTCTAATCTTTGCCTATTCACATTCTCTTAACCTCAGAGTGGCAATGTGGCATCATGGAAAAGGAATAAGTTGGGTACCCAAAGACCTACCTTCTTTTTCAGATTTTTTAACTCTCTGTGATAGTTGAGTAAATTGTTATTGAGTAAATTGATGTGTGTGGTATCAACTGATATGTGATACTGAGTAAATAGTTATTCCTTCTAATTAGGGGCTTTTCTTTTTCTTATCTATAAAATTATAGACTTGGCACAGATACTTTCTAGGGTCTCTCTGGCTGTAATATTCTACAATATGCTTCTGTAATAAAGTCCTCGTGAACACTATGGCTTGAAGGCTTGACTCCACTCTCTGAACTGTGATAGGTCACTTACAGATTTCTTTTGGGATTTAGATTTGTGCGCTTACCCACCATCTCTGTGAAAGAGAGATAAAGAGTCTTCATTATTTTTGTGTCTCCCAGATGCTTTGCATACCATAGACATTCAACAAATACTTGCTAAGTTCATTAGTAGATTTTAGAGGACTATCTGAAATAAATTCCTGGCTGGGCGCAGTGGCTCATGCCTGTAATCCTAGCCCACTGGGAGGCTGAGGTGGGTGGATCAATTGAAGCCTGGAGTTTGAGACCAGCCTGGCCAACATGGCAAAGCCCTGTCTCTGCTTAAAAAAATACAAAAATTAGCCAGGTGGGGTGGCATGTGCTTGTAGTCCCATCTACTTGGGAGGCTGAGACAGGAGAATCACTCGAACCTGAGAGGCGGAGGCTGCAGTGAGCTGAGATCACACCACCACACTCCAGCCTGGGAGACAGAGCAAGACTCTGTCTCAAAAAAAAAAAAAAAAAAAAAAAAAAAAATTAACTAATTAATTAAGTAAATTCCTAATGAGTAGCCAAAATGACTTAGAAGTAATATGAATTTAAAATTTAGGCTCAGTTGGATTGTTTTCAGGGGGTTATAAGACAAATTGAAATTTCTTCTTCTCTGAGCTTGCAGCTGTTTTAAGTGAAGGAGACAAATGAATTAGATAAAATCTAGGGACTACCTACTCAAGAGAGTAAATAGTTAAGTAGTCCATTCAATTGGATATAGTTCTAAAATGACAGGATCAGAGACTGGCAGCATTACCACTAAGACAGAATAATGAAATGCTAATTATTTTTAAATTTCTAATAATAAAGTGCTGATTAGTATTTAGCTAATTAAATTATACATAACTTTGCCTGTGCTTGCATTTACCAGGTCAAGGGGGTGGAAATTGGACCAAGGTGGCTGGTTAAAATCTAAATAGAACTTCTTGAATCCTTTAGCCAACTTCAATTCCTTTCTAATGTGTTTTCATAAGGTAACATCTGTGCTAAGATCTGAGCAATATTCTATGGTTAGACTCTTAGCTGCTTCTGTTTGGTGGGTACAAGGGAGTACAGAGCCACCTGTAGCATTTTTTGGCTAATGCAGTACCCCACAGAGCTGTGCTTTGCTGGGAACTGGCATAGAGTTCATGTGTTCTCTTTCTCTGTGCTGTTCTGAGTGCTGATCATCTAGGAGAGTTATTTATTTGGGAATGTGTATTTTTGCAGTGATAGTAACTCAGGTCCTTCTTCAGTAGCTTTACAAATGCCTTGCTTCATTGGTCAATGGTATTTCATGCTTTTCTTCATATTCGATGCACCTGCTCACCTTCACCCTTATTTCTGTCTTCTGAAACAAGACAATCAAAGAACACAAAGACAGGCAAGTGAAGGTGCAGGTAATAGGTGGAGGACAATTGACTCTGAGCTCTCCTGGGGTAGTGTCAATGGTGTTTTCAGTCAAATGCAAAGTGACAGCCCCCTGTGAAAATGCCTATTTTTAATCACATATTTATTTTTAAAGTAAATTAATCATGTGTAGCAATTGATCAGGCTCCTTTCTTTCTCCTTCTAATGCATTGTCTATAGATATAGGCAGTCTACACAGCCTTCTGTTTGCAAACTAGAAACTGGCTGAACTCTATGAAAGAAATGTTTCAACACTTGAAATTATATCTAGAGATGTTTTACAAGACTGCTCTGTTACCAGTGGCAATGAGGAAATTAAAGAGAATGG